ACAATTCTGTTGCCGCCGTGCCGACTCTAGTTGTCAAATTTGTTGCATCTCGGATATAACGATATCCATATATAACGATAGAGATTTGTCGTTCCCCCGAATATCGTTATAAGCGGAGAATGTACATTTACGATCTATACCTCAAATGAATGTTTCCGGAGACATGCTATAAAACCAGCTATCTCAATATTTATTTGCTATGTTGTTGGTTTATTGTCTTGACTGGGATTTGAACTTTGCTAATCTTTATGTTTCATTTTCTTGAGTATTCTTTCAAATATTATAAGATCTATGGATGTGGAACATTGACAAAAATGAACAAGGAATTTTAAAGCTTTTGTAGACGTTATCAGGTCTATGGACTTTGGACATTGACAAAAATGAATAAAGAATTATATAATAAGATAAAAAAAGAATTATAGAGCAAAGACACATTATGCTTCAGGAACGATTAAAATTTAATTTTTTTAGAAAGAGCAAATTTCAGTTTTAATAACGTTGAATTATGGTCTAAGTTGCTTATTGTCTGAAGAAAGCAACGCATACTGTGTTGAATAACAGATGTCCTGCTGAAGGTAGACGTCATCAGCCGAGTTACCATCCGTCTGCAGGTGTTTCGCTCCATTTACACTCGGGACACCCTCGGGATGGTGGAGCAAAGTAGGGTTGATCAGGCCCTACCCCGTCTACCTTGGCTGCCATTCATGTTTGCTACGGAGCATCCATAGCCAACTGGACGCTCTTTCGGCTGTTCTCCCCAGAGCATGGACTGTGCGCTTTCGTGCCGCTCCTTTGATGCCCAATGCTCCGAGCATCCTCCACACTGATTGTGATGGGAAGCCACGACATCCGACCTCAATCGGGAAGACCTGAGTGTTCCAGCCGTTGGACTTGCAGGATTGGGCCAAGTCTTCGTACTTGGACCTCTTGAGCTCGTGGGATTTTCAATGCGTTCCTCCCATGGGACTGTCAGCTCAACCAGCACCACTCGTTTAGGATTCCTGGACCATATCACAATGTCTGGCCGGAGGGTAGTCTGGGCGATTTCCTGGGGGAACTGTAGTTGTTCCTTTAGGTCAGCCTTCATTTCCCATGACCTGGATTCATTCAGGATTCCGGTCGATGCTGGGGCTGACTTGGGTACTTGTTCTCCCCTCCTTCAGGAACCCGATGTAGCGGTTCTGGTTTGGCCTCGGTCTCTCTTTCTTCCTTTCGGTCTCAAGGACATGGGCTACCTCAGACAGGACCTGGTCATGACGCCATCTGTAGCGCCCCTGAGATAGGGCTGTGGGGCATGATGAGAGTACATGTTTGAGTGATCCTGGTGAACCACACAATGGACATGCCGGGTCGTCAATCAGCTTCCACTGGTACAGGTTGGTAGGAGATGGAGCATGTCGTAGATAGAACGAAGCCAGGAAACTCAGTCTGAGTGGCTCGTACTGCCAGATCTCTTGCCAGGATAATTTCCTTTCTGGAACCTGCCATCTTGTCCAGTTTCCCTGTGGTCCTAGCTGGACTGCCCTTGACATTCTTTCCTGCTCTGCTTCTTTCCTGATCTCGGTCTGTACTAGGGATCTTCTTTCCTGCTGTGTTGAAGTCTCCCATCTTTGGTGCTTCCTGGTGCCTAGTCCTTCTTTTCCTATGTTTGTCATACCCACAATGTCTTGGTGCTTGAGACTGCTCTCTGCAAGCTCCACCGCACGACTCACTGACCACTTTCGCCCAGTCCTAACCTCGATGCCAGCGCCGCTGATCTTCTCGTCTTTGGAATCTCTCAGCGTTAGCAGAAGTCTGGTCTTAGCAACTTTGAATTCCTCTACAATAGAGTTGATGGGCATCTGTAGTTTTGCTGTCTTGCTGTAGCAGACCTATGTTGGTGAAGGATGGAGGCAGGCCTAACCATCTTCTTAGGTGCTTGCTGACAGTCCGCTCCAGCTTCTCTACTGTACTGGTTGGAATATCGTTAACCATCATTGGCCAAACGAGTCTGGGTAGTAGATTGTGTTGGTACACCCAAGCCTTAAAATTTCCCCGGAAAGATCGCACTTGTCTATTCTTCTCAACCCCTCCCTCCGCCTGTTGTTTGAAGACGGGCTTGACTGCTCTTGTCTGATAGTGAGGTGTCGAACCACTTTCCCAAGCACTTGACTGGATTGTTGGACAGGGATGGGATGTCCTCTCCCTGTATGGTCATCTTGAATCTTTCCGTGACCTTTCCTTTCTTAATCACCAGGCTTTCGTGACTTGGCTGGCTTGAACTGCATTCGGGCCATGTCGCTGTTTCCTCTAGTGCCGTGAGTACCCATCGTGCTTGGATGTGAGTTTCCGTCGTGACGGTCATGTCGTCCATAAACCCACGGTTGGATTGGTAGGCGGATACCAGAGTTGGTCTTTGGGCCTCGTGTTTCCACCTCTGCTGCCTTGATGATGATGTTCATGCCCATCACAAACAGTATAACAGAGATGGTACATCCAGTCACAATGCCTTTCTGTAGCTCAATCCAGTCTGTTGTGAACTGTTCACAAGAGAACCTCAGGTGAATGTTGCTGAAGTAACTCTGGATGAGTTTTGTGGCATGATCCGGGATGTGGTAGTGGTGCAGAGCTTCCAAGATCAGTTGGTGTGGGATCGATCCATAGGCGTTCGCAAGATCTAACCAAATGACACTGAGATCTTTGTGGTTGATCCTGGCCTCATGAAGCAGCTGCGTTTAGAGCGCTGGTGTGCTCCACGCACCCCGAGAAACCGGGTATTCCTCCCTTTTGGACTGAGGTGTTGATGTACTGGTTGCTTAACATGTACGAGGTCATGCGGTTGGCCAGTATTGAGAAGAATATCTTGCCCTCAACATTTAGAAGTGATATGGTCCTGAACTGCTTTACTGTCTTAGAGTCTTTCTCCTTGGGCACAAAGCAACCTTCGGCTTGTTTCCAGCAGTCTGGAACTGTTCCCTTCCTCCATACCACTTTCAACAGTGCCAGAGACGTCTCAGAAGCTTGGGGCACTTCTTACAAACTTTGTAGGAAATGCCACTCGGTCCAGGAGCTGAACATGACCGGGCCTTCATAACAACACTTGTCACTTCTTTAAATGTTGGTTCCTTCAGATCTAGTGGAATTGATGGTTCTTCAACAGGAAGAATTCTGTCACAGTTGCCTAGCGGGTCATGCCTCTTGGGGTCTGAGTGTACATCCCGTAGGTGCTGCTCCACTTCGGTCTTACTACTCTCCATCTTTCCTGATCTTTCCTCTCCTAGTAGGTCCCTAGAAAATCTGTAAGGATTTGCTATGAAGGCGGCTCTCTTCTTTGCTTTGGTCTTCCTCTTTTTGGCCACTCTCTCTGCCGTAGTGAGGGGTCTTCAGGCGTGACCTCAGCTGTCCTCTCAACTGGGCGAGACCTTCTCTCTCAGTCTGGTTGGCACCCTTGAAACGCTTACGTAAAGTACGGAGTTCTGTCCGGAGCCTCTTGATCTCACACTGCCTTCTGTTTGGGCGCGGTTGAGACTTCTTTGACTCTCCTTTCTTCACTTCTCCGAACCTCTCTCTTCCAAGGGTGTAGGCTATGGAAGGCAACACTTGTAGTTTCCTTTCCACAGCACCTGACAATGTTGACTGAAGGATCAGGTCCAAGTCATCGTCAAACGTCTTCCAGCTACTGTCGTTGGTATTGGGCCATGCAATCTTCGGTTTTTCTGTCGCTTGATGTCGGTTGTCGTGGTCTTGAGTCTGATTCAGCTTGCCCTTGGTCTGGTACTTCCTGTGTTTCATGGAGTGGAGTTGTACTCTGTCTACTTTGTGCAAAGATTGGAGAACTACCTCCTGAAGTCACCCTTGGTCGATCTGTTCGAAATATTGGGGACTCTTCTCCATCTCCAGTGGGAGGAATTAGCTCCTCAGACGGCTCTGTTTGGTCTGTGGGATTTGCTGTACCGTTCTTGATGTCATCTGCAGTTAAGGAATGCACGGGAGCTGAGAGACAAGTAGCACTGTGGTTCGGCACCTGACTAGATATCTCCCCCGTCTCACCAGGGTTAACTGTGCGTTGTTCCTGTGTATTCCGTAGCTGACAGCCACTTCGAGTCTGGTGGATTTTCATCCCCCTCCTGTTCTTGCACCGCTTGCCACAGGGGCACATGATGGCTGTGCTGTTATCAGTCTCACTCGTAGTCCGTTTGTGTTCCGTGTTCGTTACCGTGAAATCAGTCCTATTAGGTCTTTCATCCTCCCCCCCTCTCGGAAGACCCTGGGGGTATTCTTCGTTCGGTTGTGTTGTAGCAGTTTTGGCGGGTGTCTTCTCGCGAAGACTGCACAGCGGGGAGCCGACCCACTGTACACCGTGAATCCAGTCTTTCCTAGAAGTCGCCTGTTTCTCCAGGGTAACTGTTCTATTCTCAGTTGTCATCCAGACTTTCCTGGAAGTCACTGGTAAACCGGAAAAACAGAGTTGAATAACAGATGTCCTGCTGAAGGTAGACGTCATCAGCCGAGTTACCATCCGTCTGCAGGTGTTTCGCTCCATTTACACTCGGGACACCCTCGGGATGCAGGAGCAAGTAGGGTTGATCAGGCCCTACCCCGTCTACCTTGGCTGCCATTCATGTTTGCTACGGAGCATCCATAGCCAACTGGACGCTCTTTCGGCTGTTCTCCCCAGAGCATGGACTGTGCGCTTTCGTGCCGCTCCTTTGATGCCCAATGCTCCGAGCATCCTCCACACTGATTGTGATGGGAAGCCACGACATCCGACCTCAATCGGGAAGACCTGAGTGTTCCAGCCGTTGGACTTGCAGGATTGGGCCAAGTCTTCGTACTTGGACCTCTTGAGCTCGTGGGATTCTTCAATGCGTTCCTCCCATGGGACTGTCAGCTCAACCAGCACCACTCGTTTAGGATTCCTGGACCATATCACAATGTCTGGCCGGAGGGTAGTCTGGGCGATTTCCTGGGGGAACTGTAGTTGTTCCTTTAGGTCAGCCTTCATTTCCCATGACCTGGATTCATTCAGGATTCCGGTCGATGCTGGGGCTGACTTGGGTACTTGTTCTCCCTCCTTCAGGAACCCGATGTAGCGGTTTCTGGTTTGGCCTCGGTCTCTCTTTCTTCCTTTCGGTCTCAAGGACATGGGCTACCTCAGACAGGACCTGGTCATGACGCCATCTGTAGCGCCCCTGAGATAGGGCTGTAGGGCATGATGAGAGTACATGTTTGAGTGATCCTGGTGAACCACACAATGGACATGCCGGGTCGTCAATCAGCTTCCACTGGTACAGGTTGGTAGGAGATGGGAGCATGTCGTAGATAGAACGAAGCAGGAAACTCAGTCTGAGTGGCTCGTACTGCCAGATCTCTTGCCAGGATAATTTCCTTTCTGGAACCTGCCATCTTGTCCAGTTTCCCTGTGGTCCTAGCTGGACTGCCCTTGACATTCTTTCCTGCTCTGCTTCTTTCCTGATCTCGGTCTGTACTAGGGATCTTCTTTCCTGCTGTGTTGAAGTCTCCCATCTTTGGTGCTTCCTGGTGCCTAGTCCTTCTTTTCCTATGTTTGTCATACCCACAATGTCTTGGTGCTTGAGACTGCTCTCTGCAAGCTCCACCGCACGACTCACTGACCACTTTCGCCCAGTCCTAACCTCGATGCCAGCGTAAAGTAATAAATACATGGTATTAACGTTAATCTTTTGCGAATAGTTTGAATTGATATTTATCTTAATCATTGTGTTTAGGTTTTATCTAAAACTTGAAATATGTCAGACATACCTGGAATCATTGCATCATGACAAAATAGGAGATTATAAATAAAATACATCCTCGCTTAAAACCACTTTTTTGACAATGTTATTTTGTTGAGTAATTGCTCTAGTCAATAAGATTTATGAAAGGTCGTTTTTCTCTCTCATGTTTTCTAGGAAATTAAACGACATAAATTGTACAGATAATATAGAGAAAAGATAAATCATTGACTTTTTTCTTTTTCATTAACTTCGTAAATATTGTCCCAGAATGTCGTGAAAAGAAATGCTTTTTTCCTTGATACAAATTTAGTTTGTTATTTCGTCTCTAACTTATAAAGGTACACTCGGAAACAAATCATTTTTTATTTCTTTAGAAAAGGATAGCATGATTGAGATTTTGAGAATTTTAGATGCTTGTTTCCTGACGAAAGTAGCGATAGATGTAAAATTATTTGTCATGAAAGTAGCAAAATGCAAACAAAGTGGTATTTTGACTTCCATACAAAATTCTTATTCACTGTAACTGTACTAATTGCAAAACAAGCAACAGATAGAAAAGATGTTTCCGGTGCTTGGCCAATGAGTGATGTTTTGGATACTATTAAAGTACACCAAAATTAAAGAAGCTTTCGAGAGATATGAAAAAACATTTCTGAGGCTTAACGGACCTTTAAGTAAATTCTTTCAAATGGTATTAAGATTGATCAAGAGAGATGATGAAATGAAACAACAAACACAAATGTAAATGAAATATGTTCACACAGCCGGCTATTTAACGATTATAACTACATGTGTTTGTTTTAACAGTATGCTTCTAAAATCAGAAGTAAAAGCCTTGCAAATAACATCTTTTTTAATTATGGGAAACAATGCTTCCCAAAAGACACTGAATTTTATTTTCCTTTTCTGATAAGAGCTGTGTTTGTAATAGGATCATATTATGACGTATATAATCATTGTAAATGTCTACCACAATGTCTGATCATAGTTAGTTTATAGCTTTATTTCCTACAAACGAGGTATCGCATACAATCACCATAAATTACTATTTTCACGACGTTAATATATCTTCATAAATACATTACTTTGCTCACAGTCTTACGGTATTACAATAATCTTCACTTATAACACTATCGCTTGTAACAATATACCGCTTATAACAATTATTTTGTCACTGTCTTGACTCTGGTTTTCAAATTGTTGCTTCTCGGATATAACTATATCCGGATACAACGATATAAATTTGTCGTCCAATGAATATCGTTATAAGCGGGTTTTACTGTACATTTTCACACCAAGTGTCATTTTGTTATTTATGCATTTTCTTTGTATTATTATGTTAAAAGTCTGTTTGTTTCCTGTTTAGTAAGTAGTATACTAGACATTTTAGATATAAACATGCATATAACCAAAACAAATGTGCCATACTATGGAACATCTTTGATGTATTCCAAATGTCTTCATTGTAAATAAAGACTTAAGCAGCAATAGATTTACGTGCAATCGAAATAATCTAACTAGCAAGAATTGAATCATTTTTTCTTCTAGTACTTGTTTGAGGTTTCGTGTTGTTTAATATTGAGTTACCAGTTTTTCAGAATGGCATTTCGTTACCAGTGGCAAAGTTTAGATTTCTAACTGTCGTTAGGTTTTGCCATGGTTTTTTTATTTGTTTGTAATATTGCCCTTTGTTAAACTCTATTATTCTCTAACATTTGCGATCAATATCTTCAAATAAATGTTTCCGGAGACAATGCTATAAAACCCGCTATCTCAATATTGTTTATTTGCTCTGTTTTTGTGTTTATTGTCATGATTGGGCTTTGAACTTATTTATTAATTTTAATTTTTTATTTCTTGTGTATTCCTCAAATATCAGGTTTATGGACGTAAAAAAATGACAAAAAAATAAGGAATTCTAGATTAAAATGAATAAAAAATTATATATTAATGCACATTATGCTTCAATAACGGATAAAATTCACTTTCTTGTCTGAAGAAAGCAACACATACTGCGAAAAAAGTTGCCATTAAAGTATCAAAATGTAAATAAAGTATTATTTTGGCTTTTATGATGATCCAGGATGATCCAGGTTATTGACCAATAAGTAACATTTTAGAACCTTTATCAGTACACAAAAAAGAAGAAAAAAAAGATTGTCAGAAACATTAATTAAAATAGGATTATATATGGCACAATGAGGCTTTTAAACGATGTACTTATAAATACATGAACAAATTTTCGATTTTTGGTATTAATATTATGGCTTGCGAATATTTTCAAGTCATATTTAACGTAATCATTATGTTAAAGTATCATCTGTTATATGAAACATGTAAGACGTACATAGAATCATTGCATCATGAAAAAAGACATTATGAATGAAATACATCTTCGCTGAAAACCACGTTTTTGACAATGTTATTTTGTTGAGTAATTGCTCAAGTATATAAGATTTATGTAAGGTCGTTTTTCTCTCTTATGTTTTCTAGGAAATTAAACGACATAAATTGTACAGATAATATAGAAAAATGATAAATCATCAACTTTATTTTTATTACCTTTGTACATATTGTCCCAGAACCACGTAAATAGAAACGCCTTTTCTCTTAAATATAAATCTAGTTTGTTAATTCGTGTCAAAACTTTAAAAGTACATCATGTCTCGGAAACAAATACATTTTCATTTCTTTAGCAAGGGAAAACATTGATTTTAAAATGTTAAGATAATGGTTTTCAAGAATGTAAGATGCTTGTTACCGTGAAAAAGTAGCTGAAAATCAAAAACCATTTGTCATGAAAGTAGAAAAATATATACAAAGTAGTAGTTTGACTTCCATACAAAATACAAATTCACTGGGACTGTACTTATTGCCAAAATGCAACAGATGAAAAAGGTGGTTCCGGTGATTGTTCAATGAGTAACCTTTTGGATACTATGAAAGTACACCTAATTAAAAAAAAACTTTGTGAAATAAAGCATTTCTAAGCCATACCAGGCCTTTTGAAAAACCCTTTCAAATGATATTAAGATTCACCAAGCAAAACTGATATAATAACGTACACAAATATTAATGAATTAGGTTCACAAAGCCGGTTATTTAATGATTGTAACTACAAGTGTTTTTACAAACAGTATGCTTCCAAAATTAGAAGTTAAAAGCTTGCACATAACATATATTTTTAACTATGGGTAGCTATGCTTACATACGGACACCGTAGAATTTTATTTTCATCTTATGATAAGAGCTGTGTTTGTAATAGGATCATCTTATGACGTATATAATCATTGTTAATGCCTAATACCATGTCTTATCATAGCTAGTTTATAGCTTTATTTCCTACAAACGAGATATTGCACGCATGCAATCATCATAACTCACGATTTTCACGACGTTAAGAAATCTTCATAAATACATTACTTTGTTCATAATTGTATCTTTCAGTGTTACCTTATAACAGTAAACTAGACTTACAACGCTATCGCTTATAACGATATACCGCTTATAACGATGCTGCTGTCGTGGTCCCGACTTTAGTTTTCAACTTTGTTGTCTCTCTAATATATCGCTATAAGCGGAGTTTATTATACATTTGCACACCAAATGTCATCTTGTCATTGATGCATTTTCATTGTTTTAAGTTTACAGTCTGTTTTGTTTCCTGTTGTGTAAGTAGTATGTAAGGTATAAATATGTATATAACAAAAAAAATGTGCCATTTAAGATAGAACACATTTGATACGATAATTCCAATTGTCTTCAATGTAAAAAACGTAAAGCAACTTATGATTAACGTGCAATCGAAATAATCTAACTAGCAAGAATTAAATACATTTTTTCTTCTAGTACTTGTTTGGGACAAGGTTTCGTGTTATTTAATACTGAGTTAGCAGTTTTTCAGAATGGCTTTTCGAAAGCAGTGGCAAAAATTTGAATTTTCAATTAACGTGAGGTTTTGCCCAAGTTTGTATTTGTTTGTATTTGTTCCCTTTGTGTAACTCTATTATTTTCCAACATTTGCGATCAATACCTCAATAAATATTTCCGGAGACATTGCTATAAAACAAGCTATCTCAATGTTTATTTGCTCTGTTTTTGCGTTTATTGTCATGACTGGGCTTTGAACTTGTTATTTTCATTGTTCATTTTCTTGAGTATCCTTTAAATAGTATCAGGACGTGGAACATTGACACAACTGAATATAGAATTCTATACTTAAGGCACAAAATGTTTCAAAAACGGATGAAATTTGTCTTCTTTAGGAAAGGGAAACTTCATTTTTACTAACGTTTGAAATTTTGTTTAAGATGCTTATTATTTGACGAAAGCAGCGCATACTGTGAAATTATTTGCCATAAAAGTAGCAAACTGTGAATGAAGTAATATTTTGACTTTCATACGAAATTCTAAAATATCTACAGCTGTATTTCTTGCCCTAAAACAACATGAGCAAAAGATGGTCAATGATACTGATCAAAATGTAACTTTTTGGAACATTTAACAGTGCACAAAAATAACAAAAAAGGATTTTGAGAAATAGTAATTAAAAAGTTTATCTTTAGCCCAATGTGCCTTCAAAAAAGATTTACGTATAAATACATAACATTTTTTAAAGTGTCGGTTTAGTGGCTTTGGAATATTTTGAATTCGTATTTACATCAATCATTATGTTTTATTTTTATCTAAAACATATAAATAAAATGTTAGATCTGCATAGAGTCATGGTATCATGACAAAAAGAGACTATAATGAATAAAATACATCTTCGCCTTGACAATGTTTTTTTGTTGAGTGATTGCTCAAGTCAATGAGATTTATGATCGGTCGTTTTTCTCTCTCTCATGCTTTCTACGAAATTCTACGAAATTAAACGACATAAATTGTACAGATAATATAGAGAAAAGATAAATCATTGCTTTTTTGTC